TTTTTCTTATTTCAAAAACCTTACCAAGTCAAATTTTCAGACTAACAAGACAAATAATCTTACACATTCTGAAAACAAGATTATTAATCTTACACAATCAGTTCTTGTTTATTAAATCAGTCTCAAAACAAGATCAAAAAGACTTTTTGGCTGATATAAGATTTAAAACTCGATAAGATGGACAGTTTTTCAGTGTATAATATGCAGCTTGCACACTTGCAGAGTTTTATAGATTTCAAGTAAAGCTTTATATTTAAGCTTAAAGATTTATAACCCTGAAAAACGATATAAAATGGGCAGCTGTTTGGCTGACCTGAGGGAATCTATTCTTRTCTGCGTTGTGACTTTAGTCATGTCATTTGTTGTTAACTTTTTGACAGAACATCCTTAAAAACARCTTTAATCACTGGTGAAATGCAGCTAAGTTACAGTTAAACAATGGCAACACTAAACTCAGAGTTTTTCTGTGTGTCCGATCATTTGTTCCTTTCAGYTACTTTGAAAGCTTTTGAAACAGATTCCCTGTGTTGTTGGAGCCGCCTGCGTCGTGTTGTGATTGCTCAGGCCTTTGTCGCCTGAGTGACGCTCCTGAGATGCAAACTGCAGGACGAGTCTTTTTCTTAATAGTCGATTTGTTTACGATATTTGCTTATGGTCAGGATCTTTACCCGGAGCTTCCTGATCACAAGTCATCYCTGTGATAAATCACATTCTCTCACTGAGTCGCCATGCAGGCTCAGACACCTTTTTTCCCCTTTCTGCCTAATTACACTCATTAAAACCATCTTAGCTCTCGTGTTTCTAATTAAGCAGCGAGGGTGTTAAGTGTTTGATCTGTGGTCATTTCTTGGCCTTGATTTTGTTTATACGGATCAATAATTGACGCCGGGTGGGTTAAAGCCCACCTTCCTGTGAGTGATAAGCGCAGGTTGTGGGCGACAGGTGAGATCATGTTAAATCACAGCGGAGCTCTGGTTTTCTGTGAGCTGAGACAGACATGGTAGGATGCCCCGGCTCTCCCGACAACAACACTTTGCATGCACATTTCCATATATTCCATTCACGCTGGGTGGGGTGTGTGTGTGTGTATGGGGGGTGGGGGGTCATTTAGATTTGCTCAGTCGCCTGATTCCTTCATTTCCGAGCGGTCACAAACCCAACTTCAGCCTGGCAGGACCTTATCTCTGTCTCCCTTTGTAGAGGACGAGGAGATGGCGATAAAGTGAGTTACTGCATATTTGATTATTGATGTTTTACAGTTTTCAGCAGGCAACAACACACTGCAGCCATGTGGAAAACACCAAGGAGTTTTTCAATCACTGTAAGTCTCTTTTTTGCTTTGTGCTCACTTCTCACTTCTCTGAAGAGTGACCCTAAAGTTTATATTCCGGGAGTGAATCGATAAGTAGGCCTGACAGTGTCTTTTGGTGGATGTTGCGTTCGATGATAACTGGGCTAGTGATAGATCTAAATGCTCTTTTCAAGGGTAGATTGTGTTGCTTTCCCAAGGATCCACTGGAGGATGTTGAGTCCTGGAGTGAGTCTGTGGATAAAGTCCTCGGCAGTAAAGGTGAAYTCCGCTCGCACACGTCGTAGACGAATCCGATTTCACAAACAAGCTCCAAACTTACTCTCATTCTCTGACACGCAGCCGGACAGATAGCTTTCCGGGAGTTCCTGAAGTCTGAGTACAGCGAAGAAAACATTTTGTTTTGGCTCGCCTGCGAGGAGTACAAAAAGACCAAGACGGTCCCAGAGATGATCTCGTCCGCCAACAGGATCTACTCAGAGTTCGTGCAAACAGAAGCCCCCAGGCAGGTAAATACATGTGAAGGATTTCAATCTTGTCTATTTGAGCTCTTTTTTTTTTTCTTGTTAGACGTTGAATGAGATGAAAAGTGCTGGTTAAAAGCTGCCCTGGGCCATGCTCTTTGATTCCAGATCAACATAGACTGCCCGACCAGAGAAAGCATTACAAAGAACATCTCCCAGCCGACCCTGACGTCCTTTGATACGGCGCAGAAGCTCGTCTACAGTCTGATGGCCAGGGACTGCTACCCACGCTTCCTCAAATCTGACATCTATCAGGGACTCCTGAGGAAAGTCGATTCAAGGTGACTGTATTAAAACTGACATCCTCTCAGACGGCGGCTCATGAAATCTTCTGTTCAGCTCTGATCTGCTGTAGCGCCCTTTGATGCAGTGTGGATAACAGGTTTACGCCATCCAGAGCTCTAAGTGTAGCTGATGTTAGTGCTTCCCCAGCCTGTGTGATTCTGTAGTTCCAGCTAAACGCAATTTATCCTTTTATTATGGTAGGACAAAAAAAGAAAAAGAAAAAGATTGTGCACATAAATCTTTCATTGTCGTTACTTTTCTGTAGTCTAACTGAAAATGCTTAGAATACCAAGGATTCATTTATTTATTGTAAAGTATTACAACTTTAATTGATCGTGCAAATAGAACTGCTAATTTGTTGAGCAAATTTTCAACTTATATATTTATTCCTCTCAGGTTTGTGCCCTATCCAAAGATTTATTGTCTGCGTGCATTGTACTTTTAAAATATCTTCAAAAGTAAATATACATATAAATAGTTGGGTGTGGTGTTTTTGAATGTAATGCAAATGTTGCTGACTGTAAAATGGAACGTGGTCATCAGACAGCAGGTGGCAACAGAGTCCTAAAAACTACGGCAGAACTCATTAAAACAATGTTCAACACTTCCTTAAGGTTTGTGCAGCAGCTGGGCTGCAGGTGAAGTCTGTATATAGAGTGAATGCAATAAAGAAGTGCATGAATCGACTCTGTCTCTGTTACATTTGCCTGGAATGTCAGAAAAGGATGTGGAAAATGTGGAAAAGGATTCAAACACAAACCTTGGTGTTTCTTACATAAAGACTGAGGCACCTTTATTCCTGTTCAGCTCTTTTTCTTTCTTTCTTTCTTTGTGGTAGGGTTACAGACATATTAAGCATCTCATTAGACAGCTACATTGAAGTGCTCAGCAGTGTTGTATAAAGTACCACAAAGTGATACTTGAGTAAAAGTACAAGTATCTTACCAAAAAATTCCTTTGGTAAAAGTTAAAGTCTCCTTTAGGAATATTACTTGAGTAAAAGTTTTAAAGTGTCTGATATTRTTTGTACTTAAGTATTAAAATTAAAAGTATTGATTTAAGCAGTTAGTTTTTCTGTAAGGACATTTGTTAGGAGGTGACCTCCCTCCAAAAATGCAGAAATTACTATATACATGTATATAGTATGTATATAGTATCTGTAGGGGTCACCTCGAGTGAAGAAACAGGAATTACTGCCTGAAAGCAGGTCTCGCACAGGCCTGAGAATTGGCAGGAACTGCTGAACTCTTATTTTAGGCCATGACGGGTCATTTCAACCTACACACGAGGACTTCAGTTCTCTCTAATCAGATATTAAACAGAAACAATCGGTTCTGTTCATGATTCATTGG